ACAGAAGGGACAGCGTGTGCCAAAGACTTGTGGCCAGAGGGAACATCGGAGCTTGAAGAATTGTAAGATGGCTGGTTTGGAGGAGCACGGAGAGTGAGGAAGAGGATGGCTGGGGCAAGGGCGTGAGTCTAGAGGAGCTGGCAGGGTTTTCACGGAGCCCCCTGAGGCCACATGAAAGATGAGAAGCCCATGAAGCGTTGTCGTTATCCCTCGTGGGGGAAGTGAGCAGGAGGGGTGGAGGTTAGGCTGAAGGAGGGAGAAGCGGGTTGCTCCACAATTTGGTGTTAGAGGGGTGCGAATCCCTAGTACAATGTCTTTAAGCCTCTCTGCCCCCTACTCCCATAAGCTCTAGGCCAGCGTCAGTCACCTCTGTACCCCGCTACCCAATCCTGCATGCTCTGAGGAGCTTTTTAGAATGCCCGCTTCTCACCATCCTTGTGGCCCCTTCTTTACTTCAGACCACGACTGACCACCTCCCAGCCTACCCTGGCACATCTTCGCCCTGCACACTGCAGCCAGAGCTAGTGCCGTCTAAACTGCAAATCTCTCTACGGCATCCCTCCCCCTGCTTAAAACCCCTCAGTGGCTCCACAGTGTTCCAAAAATGTAGTACAGATGCCTTAGCATGTCTCTTCACAAGTCCTCCTCCATTCGGCCTCAGTCACCTCCTGCTCACTCTCTGGGCTCCAGGCACAGGAGCCTCCCCAGGCCCTATATGCTCTGTTCCCTCTTCAGGGCCTGTGCTGAGCTGGTTCCTCTGCCAGGAACATTCTCCTCTTGTGGTTTGTTGATCCCACTCATCCCTAAAGGCTCAGCTTCAATGTCTTTTCTAACAAACCTTCCCTAATTCCTGGCAGAGGTGGGTGTGGGCCGGGACCCCCCAATCACCCCTAGCATGGCATGCACACTGTACAGGGGCCTGCCTGCTGTCTCCCCCTCAAGAATGTAAGATCGCCAAAGGCAGGGATTTCTGTCTCCCTTATTCCCACAGACAGCAGCTGGTTCTCCTCCACCAAATCAGAGCTGTTTCCTCCACCAGAATGGGGGTTCCCTTAGGACAGCGATTGTGCTTTCCTCATCAGATTAGAGGTATCCTCAAGTCTGGGATTGTGTCTCCCCATCACACTGGGTGTTACCCAAGTACTAGGATCATTTCTCCTACTATCCAAACCCCAGCCCCCGCCACCATCCTCAAACTCTCACAGCCTGGGAGTGGGAGATAGAAGACAGCCATCCCTCCACCTCATGCCTCGCTCTTGCCGGCCCCTCCCAGGATCCTGATATGAGGAAGGCTTGTTTGCTGGGTTTTTTTTGTTTTTTTTTGTTTTTTTTTTTTTCCGGGAAAAACAAGCTTCCTCTGCCTTCCTCAACAACCACAAGCCAGCCCCTGGCCAAGGAACCAGAGGACCTGGCCAAGGAACCAGGAGGGTCTGAGCAGCTCTGACCAGTTGCCTGGCCAGCCTTGGAGAGAACAGGCCTAGGACCAGGAACCATGCAGCCCTGGGAGCTCCCTGGCATGAGCCAGGCAGGGCTCAAGCCCAGGCTGGCAGGAGCCAGGGTTAGGACCTGTCTGGGAGAGCGACGGAGAGGGGCCTGCCTAACTCCAGGCTGGGCCAGCCAGGCTCCTGCCAGGCCATCTGGCGCCAGATCCTGTGCATGTGCATGTGTGTGTGTGCATGGGGGTGGGGGGGAGTGTCTCCCAGGCCATGTGGGTGGCTGGGAGCTGTGGGGTTGTGACCTGGCCCTCCTAGGAAGTCTCTGGCTCCCCTGTGGTCAGTTTTACTTCTGACATCTGGTCAAGTTCACAGCTGGCTAGCTTCCTGCATGGATATTTTCACTTTCCCTCTCCAAGATCTGGGGGCAAAGGGCCTCCACTCCTTCCCTATTCCACTTAAATTAACTCCATGGCTACATGTGTGAATTGGATGGATTTCTGTTAAAACTTACCCATTTGGTGTGTGTAGGGGGGAGGGTAGGGTAACAGGACAGGAACTGAGTTGGAAATTATACCTGGGTCCCTGCCACACATACAATCCCTGCTGACTCAAACCACGTGTTTTTCCAGAAAATCTCTTTGCACTAATTTTCTTTCTTTGCTATTTAATGTTCATCACTTATGTTTTATGTGTAAGTTTCAGGAGGGCCCAAGAAATGATTACACAGGATGCAAGGGGAAGGTGTCAGGGAATCTGGAGCTCACAGCTCCCGGCTAGGGGACCAAAAGGGTGCTATCTCAGCCCAAAGGGAGGAAGGAGGGGCCCCAGAACCAAACACATGCTAAAACATACTTGCCACCCCTCAACCCCCTCCCCAACTGCTGAGGAGGGAAATAAATACACTCAGACTCTGTCCACTATCAAGTGCACAGGTGAGGATCCAACAGGTGAGTTTCCTCCTCCCATCACAGATCGAGGTCAAAGCAATGCCATCTACATACAATGTTCCCAGTACCTTATGCAAGGTTGGGAGAACCTGGAAGGGGAGGGGGTGGCTGTCAGTGCACACCTTGCTCAGGGCTCGTTCATGCTAAATAGATGGGGAGCCACACTCATTCCAACATCAAGCAAAACAGAACAGGCCAGAAGGGACCTCCAGACCCCTTCCTGGCACCAAGCTAGGGGAAAAACAGTCCTTTGTAGGGTCCCCTGAACTTGGGAGAGACCCTCTAGGGGCTACAGTCTAACTCAGTTCATTCTTGTTGCATTCCACACTGGCCCACTTTTTTTCTTCATGGCAACATTCAGGGCCCAGCCAAACCCATGCCTGCAGGGGAGGGGAGGATGGGGAGAGCATTCCTCCAAGTGCAGGCCCTTGGAACACAGGCGCCAGCTCAAGCCTCAGCCGTCCTTGGCCCGCCAAACCCGGGGGCGAGGGAAGACAGCGAGCAGAGTTCAATTCCCTGTGATGCTTCTCTGGCAGCTGCTCCAGGCAGAATCCGGTCCCAGCCCCAAAGAAAGAACGCGTGGAGAAAAGAGTTCTCATGGTGTGTGTGTGTCTTAGTTGCAGGTGTATGTGTGTGTGTGTGTGTGGGGGGGTCCTAAGTCCCTGACCCCCAGGGCTGACTCTATGAGAAGATTCTGCCTGTGTTGGGATGGGTCTGTGCTGGGATGGAGGGCATCTCCAGCCTGGGCCACGCCACGAAAGCTACACCGACATGTCTGAGGGGGACGGGCCTGGAGATGGTAGAAGGCAGACAGGATGTGGCTGCAAGACACATCCTAGAGGATTGCCTGGCCCCCCTCTCCTAGCCCTCAAGCAAACCTGAGGCCTGCGCCCCTCATTCAGAGGGGAGGGGGCCGGCCCACATTTGGCTGCCCCACTGTCTCTTTCTGGGCCTCACAGTCCCATATGTAAAACGAGAGGGGTGGACTAAATTTCAAAACCCCTCACAGCTCTGACAAACCTCCAATCTTCATCTTAGGCCAGAGGGGAGGCATGAGGGGGGCTGAGGGAGGGTTTAGGCAGCGAAGATGCTCCCTTATTCCCCAAGTTCACAGTGTAGAGTCCATGGCTCTGGTTCCTCAGCCTCTCCCTCTGAGCTTCTGGGGCCTTGTCATCAACTCCAATACTATTCCTGGTGTCAGCCCCCCAGGTATGACATCCATTAAGGTGGGAGGTCCTGGCCCACCTAGAAGTATGGGGAGAAGGGAGCAGAAGGCCTGAGATGATGAAGGGGAGGGACAGGGTGAGAGAGGCAGCAGGGGCACTTCTGGTGCTGGAGAGGGAGTGTGATCAGCAGTGGGGCCACATGGGAACAGTGACAGGGCTGTGGTTTAGGGGCCTGGGCTCCAACGCCCTGCCCAGAGGAGCTCAGCTCTGATGCTGGCCCATAAGGGATGGCCGGAGCATCAGTCGTTGGAATGTCGGGGCAGGGCATGGGTTCCCAGGTCTGGCTCACACAGGGGACGTGGCAGTGGACTCGCTGCACAGGCTTTCGACGATGTCAGCTCGCTGGATGCGGCGCAGGGCAGCCAGGAGGGCATCGAGTGTTGCGCTGTCCTGGGCAGCCCAGCTGGTGAGCAGGGCACGGACTGGGCAGGCCTCGTGGGTGAAGGAGTCTATGTGCTCAGGCTGGTAGCCCAGCTCGCCTGCCAGGTGCCGCCAGGTGTCCCCCGCAGAGCCATTGAGCAGTTTTTCCACCTCTTCCTGCTTGGCTGGTGGCAGGCTGCTGTAGAGGCCTCCATCCCCCTTGAGGGCTGCCAAGAACACAGGGAAAGTCAGATACTTTTCCCCCTTTCCTCCACAGGGGGTCTGGGGGCCTAGGGTAAGACCGGAGAAGGACCAAGGCATTTCTCTTCCCAATCTAGGGAAGGGCCGAGGGCCTAGAGGCAGAGGGATGGCCAAGATGAGGTGCTGAATGGGGGGCTGGGCTGCGGAGGGGCTGGGGAATGCTGACTCACACTCCCTCCCCACCCATCGCTCCAGCATTACCCCACCACCTAACCCCTCTCCCTGCCCCACAGCAATCAATCAAGGCAGAGGAGGAGACAAGACTTCTCAGTCCTAGGCTCAACCGTAGCCAGTGTCCTGGAGCTGAGCTATATGGGTCACTAATTAGGGGACATAATTAACTACTTGTTCCCCAGAAGTCCAGGGCAGGAGGCTAATTGCAGCCACTTGGGGGAGTAATAAGCCCCAGGGGGGACAATTAGCTTGATGAGTCTGGATGCTCCAATTTGTCAAGGCCTCCATTTCCCAAGTCAGTCCACTGGAAAGAACCCCTACCTTCCCTCACCAACTCTCCCCTCCTTCCGCCCGGAGGCACTGTGAGCTAGCCCCTCTGGCAGTCCTTCCTACAGTCTAACCTTAATCACTCCTCTGGCCTTGCCTCAGCCCCCTGCCCAGCCTCCCAGCTCACCCTGGCCTGCAGCTGTCTGCGTGTGGGGCTGCTGGTCATGCAGGCTCTGGCTGTCCACAGAGATGCCGCTGTCGCTGTGGAGTTTTTCTCCCTCAGGTGGGGGCGTCTGGTTCACGGGCCGGCTGTTGGCTCCTTGTTTGTTCTGCTTGCAGCTGTTCCACCTGGAGCCGGAGGACAGGCCCAGCCTCAGTGGGTGAGGGACCGCACTGGCTATGCAGTTAAGTATCTTTGCTCTGGTGTGTGGGAGTCAGGGGGATGGTAGGTGCCCAACTCTAACCCCAGCCACAGAACCTAAGGTTCTTCTTTCTCTATATAGCTGCCCCGGTCTACACTGAAAGCACCGTGAGGGCGGAGGGGCACTCAGGGCTTGGTGCACACTGCTAGTGTTTGATAACGTTCACGGAATGGTGCATAAATAAATAACTTCCCGGGAATTCCACTTTTCCCAATCTACGCTTGTAAAATACTCGCACATGTGTGCAGGATATACAAGGACTTCCTCTGCTATTATACAGAATAAGAAAAAACTGAAAACAAACCAAATGTCCATCAACAGGAGATTGGTTCAATAAATTATGATCCATTCATATTATTGAATGAGTGGTTACAAATGATCAGATAATCTATACGTCCAGAGGAAAGCCCTCCAGAGGGAGATGAAGTAAAAAAATAAGTTGTAGAATATGTATACTATATCCCATTGATGCTTTTAAAAGAACCTGTGTGTTTACGTAAAATTTAAAAAATTTTATGTATATGTGTTTATAAATGCACAGAAAATGGCTGGAAAGGATTCAAGCAGATTCCAATGAGGAGAGGGGTAGGATCTGGGGAGGTAAAAGGGAACTTTTGCTTTTTTCTTTACAAGACATTACTCTTGTTTGCGTTTTCCCAAACAAGCATGTATTACTTTAATGATTTTTTTTTTTTTCAGAAGAAAAAAATGCACTTAAATGTTTAAAATGTTTTCCAGGAGTTCTTGCATACCCTGGAATTCTGGATGTGGGTGCCATAGCATCTCAAGTGTGGGAAGGAAGAGACATGCATGCACAGGTAACTGTGTGGGTAAATGGGGTTCAGGAAATGAGGACACAGGCAGCTGGTTGCAAGCTTTCTGTGTACGGTCGGGGGCCAGGAAGTCAGGGAGGGGAGCAGCATGGGAGTAGGGCAGTGCTGGTACCAGGACAAGACAGGGACAATCCCCCTCCCTACCTCTTGCTGACCTGCCATTCTCTGGAGTAGTGTAGCCGATGGTGAGTGAGGATGAGCTTGGTTGGGCTTGAGTTAAGAATGCATGCATTTTCAGGTCAGGGTCACTGTGAAACCTGCCTTGAGGGCAGAGGTGTGGCTCCCTGTTCCTCACCCCCCCTTCTCACCTCTTAAAGGCTATATAGGCCACAAGGCCCACAACCACAGCGGCCAGGATGGAGCAGTAGACAGGGATGAGGTTGTCAGTGGTGCCTCGAGTCACCACGGGCTGGGAGCTGCCCATCACTGTGGTCACCACATCTGCCACTGTACTGGCCACAAGGTCTTGCTCTGGAGGTACCTCAGGCTCCTGGGTGCTGGGGGCGGTGCTGTCCGAGCCCTCTGGGGGTGTAGACCGTGTGATCCAGCGGCCAGGGATCTCTGGGAGAAAGGGTGACTGGAGTGAGTGCCCATTCCCCCCAGCCCTTCCCCTTATGTTCTGACTCGCCCAGTGCTTCTTCCCCAGCCCGCGCCAGGTGCTCATGCGCCCAGCTGTTAAGCAAAGGGGTGAGGGCTAAGATTGTGTATATGTAATCATGGTGGAGAAGAGCAAGAGCCTAGGAATCAGACCTAGGTCCCTTTTGGCTGTATTTCTGTGTGACTCTGGATCAGTCCCTTCAACTCTCAGGGCCTCCATTTCCTTGTCCATAGACTAGGGGTGTTAAGAGACATGGTCAATAAGCTCCCTCACATCTCAGGGGTACCTGTGGTCCTAGAAATCTATTCTGCCTCCCCTGGGGGCCAAGAAGCCTGGCATGGAGGTAAAAACACAAAGAAGAGAGAGAGGGCCCCAGGAAGCCTCCAGCTAGAATCCCTCTGGGAAATGTTAAAACCTCTCTGGCCTTAAGTTGCCCCAGTGGCCCCAATCACCCCTGTCTTAAGGAAGGATGAGGGTATTCGGATCCATGCAGAGAGGTACCTTGTTCCACCCCACCTCCCCGGAGCTGGCACTCAGCCTCTTTTCCGGTCTCTGATGTCCCAACTCTAGGCTTGGGCAGGGTGGAGGAACTCAGCTGCTTTGCTTCCCTGAGAGAGAGGGCCCCAGGAAGCCTCCAGCTAGAATCACTCTGGGAAATGTCAAAACCTCTCTGGCCTTAAGTTGCCCCAGCCAGTCCTTGGACTATGGCTAGCCTATTTCTTGCCCTGCATGGCCCTCACACCATCCGATCTTGCCGCCCAGAGAAGACAGTGTCAGGTAGCCCAAACTCTCCCTGGGAAGGAAGCAGGCTGCTGGTAGAAAGAAGACCTACAAAGCGGGTACTGCCCAGCACCTCAGGGGGAAGGAGACTGTGCCTTGCCACCCACTTAGGCCCTCTCATGCCAGCTGGACACAGCTAGCTTCCTTAGCAGGGGACCCAGCTCCTCCTGGCACCAGTGGGTTGGATTTTCCATTCTGTCACCCAGCTGGGGGCAGTACCCAAGGTTGTAGACTCCGGATGGCCTGGGGGGTACCTGTCTGGGCAAAGTTGCCTACCCTATCTCTCCTCACTTCCCACGCCTGGGGCAGGGAGGGAAAGCAAAGCAGACAGGACATGCCTGTGGGGTGATGGGAAAGGCATTTTGCTCCGCAGCTTGCCCACCCAAGTTGAAGTCAAAGCTGCCCACTGGCCTCCTGGGCCTCCTTGGCTCAAGACAAAGATGCTACAAAGACCCCCATTTTCAGCATCTTTGGAGGGGTAAGTCTCTCAGATGCGAATCTGGAATCCATTTGGCCGGTATTAGAGAGGGGGCTACCATCTGCTGCCCCATCCTGCCCTCCCTCCACCCTGCAGTCCTGAGAAGGGATGGAGGGTGTAGGGCATGAAGTGGAGGAGACCTAGCCTTGTCTTTTGGCAGCCCAAGATAAGGCATTAAAGTGAGGAGGGTCTTCTCTTGCCCTGCTGGGAGACTGGGCCAGCTGGAAGGGCAGCCTGAGCCTTGAGGCTGACCCCAACCCATAGGCTAAAAGTGGAGGGTGTTGGTGAATCAGGCCATCATAGAGATTTGAGGGTAGTGGGGAAAGACTGGGAGAGGACAGTAAGGGACAGACCAGGCTGAAGACAGCACTGTCCAGGGCACTTTCCCCACATCTCTC